GGGTTGCGCTCTCGTTGCTGGTCCCCGGTACGGGCGCGACACCGAGGGTTGCGATCCCGTTACCGGTCAGTAAAAAAGACAAAAAGGAAAAAAAAAACTATTCCAAAGAACCACAGTTCTGGGGTTCTACCTTTGGTTTTCCTTAAAAGAAATTAGGTCATGGTGGACATTTTAATGTATAATCCATCACTTCTTAGCCCCCAGTAAGATACCCCATCTTACTGTCATTAAAAGATAAAGATTTCATAAGTTTAAGGTTTAAAAATCTACTGGATCATCAATTAGGAAGAGCAAAAGAACTTTACTAACTTAATAATTCTGTATGGCTTTACAGTTTTTATACTAACAGAATGTCTGAAATTTAAATCAGAATATCAATTGTAGCAATACCTGTGAAATTTTTAAAAACTCTAGTCATACTTTGCATGAAAGTTAAGCTTTGGAATAATGGAGTTGATTTTTTCTCAGCTCATTTCAATATTTTCAGTGATTAGAAACTGCATTTTTAAAAATAATTGTTACTCTGTAATAACTTACTCTTTTCAGGTAAGAGTAAGTTATTTATTGTGATTGTTCCTATAAAGTGCCAACTATAGGACTTCCTATAATTTTACCTAAGAATATTTTAAAGGAGATTGCTTCTTTTAAAAGCATAATCTATTTATTTGTGAATCATTTATTTTCTCCTGTTACAGGACCATTGAATCAGTCTAATTTAACTGCCAAGTTTTATTCCAATTTCTTGATTTTTTTTAACTTAAATTATGTTCTGTGGTCCATAAGCAGATAAATTTATTTTGAAAATAGAATTTAATGAAAAGTTAGAATGAACTGGTTTTCTTTCTGAGCTCAGTAAATTAAGTCCTGGTCAAACTGTTTTGTTAGATGTTTCTCTTATCACTATGGCAAAAGCTATATAGACACTGCTTTTTAAGAATTGTTCAGTCATTGAATTTCATTAATTTTTAGCCAGTCTTTTTATGAAATATCTCAATAATCTTTAGCATTCTTATTCATAAAAACTTTGCACTAGGGGCCGGCCCGGTGGCGCACTGGAGAGTGTGCCGCTTGGGAGCGCGGCGGCGCTCCCGCCGAGGGTTCAGATCCCATGTGGAGACTGGTTCCCGCTCACTCACTGGCTGAGCATGGTGGGGGCGCAACACCGAGGGTTGCGATCCCGTTGCTGGTCCCCGGTACGGGCGCGACACCAAGGGTTGAGATCCCATTGCCGGTCAGTAAAAAAGATAAAAGGGAAAAAAGAAAAAAGAAAGTGAATTGCTTTTTTGTATATCAGCAATGAGCAAGTGGAATTTGAAACTAAAATTACATTTCCATTTCTATCAGCACCCAAAAACAAAAAGCTATTTAGGTATAAATCTAGCAAAATACATACAAGATATATGTCAGGAAAATGACAGAACTCTGATGAACAAAATCAAAGAACTAAATAAATGAAGAGGTATTGCATGTACATGAGTACAAAGACAAATACAAAGTATTGTCAAGATAGCAGTTCTCTCCAACTTGATCTATATATTTAATGCAATGTCAATCAAAATTCCAGAAAGTTATTTTGTGGATATAGACAAACTGATTCCAAAGTTTATATGCAAGGGAAAAACCCACAATAGCCAACATGATATTGAAAGAGAAGAACCAAGTAGGAGGACTGAAACCAGCCAACTTGAAGACTTACTATAAAGCTACATTTATCAAGACAGTGTGATACTGGCAAAAGAACAGATAAACAAATCAGTGGAACAGAATAGAGAGCCCAGAAATAGACCCACATAAATACAGTTGACGACTTTTGACAAAGTAGCAAAGGAAATACCGTGAAGCAAGGATAATCTTTTCAACAAATTGTGCTGGAGCAATTGAATATCCACATGCAAAAAGATAGATGTAGACACAGCTCTTAAGCACTTCACAAAAATTAACTCAAAATTGATTATAAACCTAAATGTAAAACACAAAGCTGTAAAACTTCTACTAGGTGAAAACATAAATGAATTTATTTATGGCAATGACTATAGATAGAGCACTAAAGGCATGATCTATAAAAAAAGAGTTGATAAACTGGACTTTTTCAAATTAAAAACTTTTGCTCTGCAAAAGACAATGTCAAGAGGATAAGAGAAACCACACACAGAGAAAATATTTTCAAAAGGCTCATTTGACAGCAAACTGTTATCCAAAATATGTGAACTCTTAAAACTCAACAAGAAGAAAACAAACAACCCAATTAAAAAAACAAGCCAAAGACTTTAACAGATTATTCACTGAAGAAATATAGATGTCAAATAAGCATATGAAAAGATGCTCTACATCATACGTCATCAGGGAAATGCAAATTAAAACAATAATAAGATACTTGTATACACCTATTAAAATGGCCGTAAACTGGAACACTGACAAAATCAAATACCGAGAAGGATGTAGAATAACAGGAACACTCATTCATTACTGGGTGGAATGCAGAATGGTACAGCTAGTTTGGAAGACAATTTGGCTTTCTTTCTTTTTTTTTTTTTAACAAAACTAAACGTAAACTTACCATACAATTCAGCAATTATTCTTCACTTTTTGGTATATATTCAAATGAATTAGAAACTTTAGAAACTTACATTCACACAGAATCATGTTTTTACAGATGAAGAAACAGAGGCACAGAAAGGCTAAGTAACTTCCCTAAGGCCAAACAGAATCTAAGCATTGGTTTTAATATGAGTATTGAAATTGTTTAAAATTGAATTTTTACAGATTTGAAAGCATACAGCATATCAGGTCCCCTTCCTAACTTGTAATTTCCAAACTTGTAATTTACTAACTTGTAACTTCAGCTACCAATTTCTTTATCTTTTTTCAATTTCCTTAACTTAGCTATCCTAAAACTATGGGTGGTATGTGAGGGGCAAAGAGCATTACATTTTTTGTGAATATTCAAATGATTCTTGGTGAAAATCTTTGATAACTTCTGAAGTGATGATTTCACCCCTAAAATTCTTTGATTATAGGCACGTGAGCAGCAGTGACAGAGTGGGCAAGCCTTACCGTGGCGTAAAGCCTGTTTTCAGCATTGGGGATGAAGAAGAGTATGACACAGGTATAGTAATGCACCTGTAAACAGATTGCTTTCCTCAGTCACCAGGAGTAATTATAGAGGTTATTCTGGAACGTGCCAAACAACTGCTTAAAAAAAAAAAAGATTCTGTAGAAGTCTTCAGCTGAGGTCTTACCTGATGATAATTTGTAGGTTATCAGTATAGAAACAGTATTTAAATCTATGGGATAGTATTTAAATTCCTTTGATCACCCACCTAGGAGATTTAGAGTTGTGGGACTGAAGTTCAGAGAACTTCAAAATTGAGACATCGTTTCAAAGCCCTTTGAAACTGGAGGCAATATTCTGAAGGGCCACAAGATGGGGATATTGTGTCAGGGAAATTTGTCTCTATATTTTGTTGTGGTTGTCTTTATATTTTAAAAAATAATTTATTTGGTTTATAATTCCACTTTCCAGATTATCCTGATTAAGTAATCATAATTAATATTAATTTGTGTATAGAGTTATAAAAAAAGTATATAAATGCACAAAATAAGAAAAAAAGACTCCTAAATCTCACCTTGCCTTTTCTACTAGTAAATACATATTTCATATTTTCCATTTTCACCCATATAGCTCTTCATTCTCTTTCTGTCACACGAACATACCATCATTTATTTAACCAGTCTTCTTCCAGTTGATACTGGTGGTTTTCCAATTATTTGTTTCAAATGGCAGTGGATATTTTTATACATATATCTAGGTGAATTTTTGAAAATATATCCAGAAGGTAAATTCTTAGCAGTAAGATTGCATGATTAGAGGGAATCACAGTTGATGTTTTAGTAGATATTACAAAATCATTTTCCAGAAAACTTGAATTGAGGTAAATGTGCTATTTCTAATAGCTTCTTTTTCTTTTTTCCCTCTCTCTTGCCATCTTCCTGTTATCTATCAGTCTCTGTCTCTCCCTTAACATTTCCACTTCTTGTGTTAACAAAAGGGAGAGGTGAATGGATGAATAAATTGTGGTATATTTACACTTATCATGTCTATACACACATATTTACTCCATGGAAAATTTGGACAGTAATGAAATTGAGAAAACTAGAACTATGTATATCAACATGCATAGATTTCATAAGGGTTGCTGAAGAATGCAATTGAATAGTCTACTTTCTGTATACATTTTATTTAAACTGCAAAACACTACTTATATTATTTAGAAATACCATATATGGTTAAAGGAAAGACGTGGATGGCTGATAACACCAAATTCAGGTAGTAAATACTTCTTGGTGAGGATGGAAGGGAATGTGATTGGAGAGAGATACATGAGGGCTTCACTTTTATTTAAGGTGGAGTGTAGATACATGGAATTTCCTTTTTCATTGTGTCTCTCTATATTTTGAAGTATTTATTAAAAGGCAAAGGGAAGAACATTTATAATTACTAACCCTAGAGACTGTAATTCCCTTTTTTTAAATTAGAAAAACCAAATAATTAGAATGCTTTATATTACTTTCATGAAAAAAAAAAAAAAAACCTGAATAGGTTTTTACTTATTTATCCCAGGATTAATTTTATAGTTATTTTTCTTAAAATCAAAAACCAGCAAGAGAAAAATAACTCTGCCATCTTTATCCTCAAGATAGGTGATTATTGTTAGAAAACAATTTTTTTTAATTAACATCATCCAACATACAGACTAAACTCAAAATTTTCAGAGTGTCACCGAAGTGTCTTTTATAGTCTGTTTTTTTCATCCTGATTCAGGATCCAATAATGGTTCACACATTGCATTTGTTATTTTTCTTCAGTCTCACCCAGTGTACAACAGTACTTGCCCCATCCCCCTTGCTTCCCGTTTTTCTTCATGATAAATGAATCCTTTGAGTCCAGGTCAACTGTCCTGCAGAATGTTCCATATTCTGGACTTGTGTGATATTTGTCTTATTGTGTAACATAAAAATGTAAGAGTATTATCACTGTATTAAAGGTGAGCTAAGGGCCAGCCCAGTGGCACACTCGGTAGAGTGCAGCGCTTGGGAGTGTGGCGGCGCTCCCGCCGAGGGTTCAGATCCCATATAGAGACCGGTCCGCTCACTGGTTGAGCGCGGTGCGGGTGCAACACCGAGGGTTGCGATCCCATTGCCGGTTGCGATCCCGTTGCCGGTCGCGGTACGGGCGTGACACTGAGGGTTGCGATCCCGTTACCAGTCACGAAAAAAGACAAAAAGGAAAAAAAAAAAGTGAGCTGAGATACAAAGGAGATGTTCATAATTCTGTGCTTATTTTGCCTTTAGGGTTCAGTTACAGAATATTATAAAATATGTAAGAAAGCCCAACTATTGCCTTGTGATCTTTGTTACTAGATATAGGCTATGTGTGTTGAAAAAGAACAGCTTATAAGTATAGATAATACTTTTAAAAGTCTGAAAGGTAGTATATTCCATCACAGTAAAAAGTCTATTATTTTAAAGGTTGCTATATTGAATTGTGCTTTTTATTGTAGAATATTATATCTTTTATCTTAGTTATAGGATTATCTGTTAATAAAATATTAATTTTGCATACAATGAAAGGAAAATTAAAAGTTTTTATTATGTAGGTTATTTGTGAATAGATCATCCTTTGTTTAAATTTTTTTAACTCAGAAGTAATTTCATTTAGAGTTGAACACTTTTTATAATTGGGGCTGTTGAAGCAACACCTGTTTTTGAATTACATTTATTTAAGTTTTTTTTTTTTTCTTTTATGCTCTTTTTTCTCTCAAGTCATCTGTTGATCACTGCAACACATATGTACTGTTTAAGGGAGATTCTTTCGCGGAAAGGATTGGCTTATATACAGTCTCGACAAGCACTAAATTCTGTAGTTAAAATCACGTCACTTTTTTCTCTCAAGTCATCTGTTGATCACTGCAACACATATGTACTGTTTAAGGGAGATTCTTTCACGGAAAGGATTGGCTTATATACAGTCTCGACAAGCACTAAATTCTGTAGTTAAAATCACGTCCAAAAAAAAACATCCTGAGTTAATTACCTTCAAGTATGGAAACAGCAGTGCTTCAGGAATAGAAATCTTGGCAATCGAAAGGTAAGATTTTTCTGAGGATGACATCTGAATTACTGCAGTTCGTAATTAGACACAGTTTCTCTATTTTGGAGACTGGATGGTGGAATAGGATACTTAAACTGTTTCATTAGTATTTCTGGCTGTCTTTTTCTTCCCAATCCTTAGTTATATGTCGTTTAGCTGTTTAGTACATGACTTCAGTAAATGTCACAGCTGATTTTATTAACTTTCTGACCTAAGGGTCCTTAAGAATAATCTATACCAGTGCTGCCCTAAATGCTGGTTTGCAATGAAATAAGAAACTTGTCTCAGAATGTAAGTCAATGTTTTTGTTTTCCTTCATCAAAAAATTCTTGTTTTGACAAATTATCAGCGAATAAGCAGTGTGCTGAGTGGTGAAGTTGATTTACAATCTGGTACAAACTCTTCTAATTTATAGATAAAAATGTGAAGGCAAGAGGGGTTGAATGACTTCCCAGATCTTGACACCTCGCTTGTGATAAAAGCAAGTATAGGCCTCTTGACTCCTAATCTGTGGTTTATTCCATTTTGCATCAGTTCAGGTTGTTCTTCTCATGAGATTTGGGATTACACTCCTTATTTATTTATAAGAGTGCTTGGATACATAGTAAGCTCAAGGTAATGTTTGAGCACTTTTAAATAATCAACTTCAATTGGAAGGGAAAATTAACTTCTTTCACCTTGTACTGATAGGTGGCAAACTTTAGGAATATATACTTTTATATGTAACACTAAAAGAAAATAATACCTACTTTTTAAAAAATAAAAATTGTTTTATTGTTTTATGTAATAATAAATATATTTATAATATGAAAATATTCAAATAATGAAAAAAAAAAAGAATATGTCACCTAAATCCCATCCTGTTAACACTTTGTTGAATATCTTTCTGTGCATATATATACATATATTAAAATCTAGGTAAATGAGATACAGGCATTTTTTTGTATCTTGATTTTTAAAAAAACTTACTAGTATAGTGTGAATATATTTACATTTTAATAAATATAAGTTCTTAACTTTTTAATGGTAGTAGTCTGTTACCTGGATATTCTCAGGAGATTGATTTAATCAATCCCCTATTGGCATTTAGATTGTTTCCAGAGTTTCACTGTTAACATTCTTTTAATGAGCCCTTTTAAAAATCCATATTTACACACTTGTCCAGTTAGTCTTCCCAGGATAAATTTGTACATATAGATTGAGTGGGTCAGAGGTTACACATATTTTAATATCTTCTTATAAATTAATCCTAACCAAAGGACATTTGAATTATGACTCTCTCATGTGATAGTAGTTGAGAATTATGTTTTAAAGGTTTTTACATAAATTTTGCTATACAAATTAAAGTTTATTATATATAGATCAGGACTTTATTTTTAATCCAAAGTTTTCAAAGATTGTCATAAAGTTGAAGATAAATTAGCCAGATTCTCTGCCTCCCATCCCTTGTTCTTAGATACTTACGTTCTGTCTACTGCCTTGTACATATAACACTTAAGATGATTTACACAGTGGAATTTTTTGTTAGGTTTTACAGAAAATGTTTTTTAAAAAATGGTATTTTTATGCTCCTGGAAAAGAAAAAGGATATTTAATCTATGGTGTTGATATTTTGTAATAATTGCCATGCATTTTGTCTTTTTTAATATTTCAGATCCTGTAACATTATTTAATGTACATAACCTCTGTAAAATTGGGATAACTATTACTATTTTATATATAGGAATCTATTTTAGTGAACTTAAATTACTTGCTCAAGGTCACACTATTAAGTATTGAAGTTGTCATTGTCTTTGGAATTAGATACCATCAAATTGGGACTTTGTAGCTGATTAAATTATATATATACTGGGCAGCAGAATATTACATTTTTTTATCTTGTGTTTTATTATCCAGTTATAATGTATAATTAATAATGGCTCAAAGAATTTTAGCTCTATGCTATATGGAAAATCACACTGCGTTTACATTTAGATTTTCTTTCTTTCAAAATAAGCTTTTGAATATATGTTGAAATAAGTTATGGGGAATATATAGGAGGGCATCTCTGCTGGCTTTGTGGATCAGGGAAAGCTTCCCATTGGAGGTGACATCTCAGCTGAGTCCTGAAGGGAAAGCACTATATTAATATATGTATATATTTTTTTCCATAGGTATTTGATTCCAAATGCAGGGGATGCAACCAAAGCCATAAAACAACAGATCATGAAAGTTTTGGATGCTTTGGAAAGTTAATATAAAAGAAAATTATTTAAAAAGAAATTAAGGCAACCAAGAGAAACATGGACATATATTTCCTGAGTGAATACTAACCGGAAGCCCTTCATTTGCCCACAGGGGTGCTTAAATAGCAAGTCTAAGAAAGTGTAAATTATTATAATCAATCTCTGGGCAGTTAACCTTTCTTTAAAATTTTTCTTTTGCATTTTTGGTTTTATAAAATGATTTCTAATAAAGGTCAGTTATTAAATGACTTTAAAGTAACTGACCCTGTGCTGTGGTGGACTTAGGGTACAGAATGCAGTTCTATTTTGAAGAACTGTTTTAAGGGGACATGAATTATTTTCAGGTTTAAAAACAACTGTACACATATATATTTGCAATGTCTTCACTGAAAATTAGAGATAGAATTAGTTGAAGAGATTTCCTTAATTGCTGCATTTAGTTTTACCCACTGAGCAATATCACAAACTGAAAACATACGTTAATAATCAGCTCACTGTTTCTGTTCTTAAAAAGAGTGAAATGTTTTTAATGAGATGGATGAAGATTCCAGCCAACTCAAAATACAATCCAGCTAGTGAAATGTTGAAACATCAGTTTCTAAATCGCCTTTGCTTCATTAGCTAATTATTTGGACGCTAAGTGCTTCAGAGATACTAAACTTCATCCTAACAGTTTCTAAGGAGCAATTAAAAGCATTACAATAAGTAGGTAGTCGTGTTAAGATTAAAATTAGCATTTGGGGGACCGAATTGTATTTGTAAAAATATCATTGGTCTTTATTACAAGTGGATTATTTGACTTAGGATATCTCAGAACAAGTGTTGAGCACACATTGAGTTATCCTCATTGAGATTATGGTCTCTGATCACACTAAATATCCACTTTAATAAAAGCCAGATAATCAGAGAGCTGTATAAATTACAATTGTTTTTATCATCACTTTCTGAAATTTCCTTCTTTTCTTTTGGTTTTTTCTTATTAAAGTTCCAGTGTTTTGAAACTATTTTTATTTTGTTAATGTGACAAAACTGAAAAGTGATCTGCTTTATTTTGCAGCTTTCTCAATTTAATTTATTGTGGTTCATATAAGACACATTTGGGGCTATGGAATGATTTTTCATACAGTGCGTTTGGGAATAGCAAATACTTACTTACAATCTGTCATGTCCTAAAATATAATGGATTATCTTTAAGGGGTTGATGGAGAAATATTCATATGTACCCTGTTAACAGCCAGTTATTTTAATTTACTTAATGGAAATCAAGTGGATAAAAGGCAACATATGAGTAATTCAAGAGACTTTATTCTAATGTCTAATAAAAACAGTTTGAGTGGTTGGAGACATTTGCATGAAATGGTACCTGGTGCAATACTTGATATTTATAACTCTCCCCTCAAACTGTTGTATTGCATTTTTTCCCTTTTCTTGGCACCTCCTTTAGAAATATCCTGAAGTCTCATTTTTACCCATTTCAACCATGGGACTTTTTCATATTAGTGTAAAGATGTTTGTGTTACTGTTTATAAATTACAATTGTAAATAAAACAGTACAGTTTGCTCAAAACTTTGCTCTTAAAGATGCCTTTTTCCTTCATTTGTAAATCTGTGATTGAAGGCTATTCTTTTAGTAGAATTTAAATGTTCAGATATCAGGTTAGTAGGTATTAGGTTCATATTTCTGTTCATCTAGATTTTAAAATTTTTGAAATAAATCTATCAGAATTTTGCTTTGCATAAGTGTTAATAGAATGGAAGGACAAGTTACATACTGTGAAAAAATACTTGCATAATATGCAACAAAATATTCATGTTCAGGATATATAATGACTTTATATATACATATAATACAGCAATAAGAAAACAAAAAATGGACAAAAGACTTGAATCATTTTTCCAAAAAAATATATATGAGTGGCAAATAAGTACATAAAAAGAGGTTCAACATCATTAGCTATTAGGGAAATGCAAATCAAAACCACAATGAGATAACACTCCACACCTATGGGAGTAGCTAAAATTAAAAAAAGCTGACAATGCCAAGTGCTAGTGAGGATATGGAGCAACTAGCACATTTCTACATTGCTGGTGGGAATAGAAAATGGTACAGCCACTGTAGACAAGTTTGGCAGTTTTGTATAAAGTTAAACATACTAGGGTACTTGAAAAAGTTCGTGGAAAAGTAGAATTAAGAGGTAGTACAGGCTGGCTGGTTAGCTCAGTTGGTTAGAGCACAGCCTTATAACACTAAGGTCACGGGTTTGGATACCCATACTGGCCAGCCTCCATTAAAAAAAAAAAAAAAAAGAATGTATCTTCCCATGAAGATTTGTACTTTTTGAAGTACCCTCATGCATCTACCATACAACCCAGCAATCCCTCTCTTAGGTCTTCACCCTAGAGAAATGAAAGCTTATGTTCATGCAAAAACCTGGACATGAATGTTTATAGCAGCTCCACATAAATTTCCAAAAGCTAGAGATAACCCAAATGTCCTTCAAAAGGTAATGGATAGCCTGGCACATTCATCCAGTAGAATACTGCTTAGCAATAAAAAGGAATGAACTATTGATACATGCAACAACATGGATGAATCTTAGTGGCAGAATGCAACATGAAAGAAGTCACTTTTGAAATACTACATAATTTCACTATTTTACATTCTGGAAAAGGCAAAATTATGAGGACAACTGATCAGGGATTAGGGCTGAAGGGAGAGTTTGATTATGAAGGAGTTGAACAAGGGGATTTTTTGGGTGTTAGAACATTACACATGTCGGGCCTTAAAAACTAACACCACCTTAAGTGACATTACAAGCGGTGCCATTATGGGCCCACAAGGGTGTATTAACATGGCAGCCTTACGGCGCTGGGAGGAAGTAGGGTGGGAGTGTCTGTGGGAACCTTGCCTTAGCGCTTATTGGTCAAATACGTGCTTCCACGCTGGTGAACACTGCATGATTGCAATAGCTAGGCATTGAGACAGGATGCATGCTCTTGACCTTTAAGCTGATAGGATTATATAAAAAACCTCCCTTCCCCATTTGCCTTTAAAAGCAAATGCTTGTGTGATAATAAACGGAACGGCTCGACAGAAACCCTGCCGTGTCTGAGTGTCCTTTAACGGGCTGGTTGGGGCCGGCGGTGTGCTCACCTCTCTTCACGGCTCTCTTCCCCCGTAGCTTCCCAATGGGGACCGGAGGGAAAGAGGAATCTGGGCCATTCGCTCGCCCACCAAAAGGAACGAGGCTAGGGCTGTTCGGGTCAGCCAGCGGCAGACCCGACATACACAGATCTATATTGTGTTAAAACTCATAGAACTGTACACCAAAAAGGTCAGTTTTACTACATATAAGTGAAAATATTTTAATAGTCATAAGCAAATTCAATAAATACTATTCTCAAAATCCAACTTTTTTTTTAGCGTTTTCACATTTCATATTTGATCCTTTCAACTCATTTGTGAAGAGGCAGAGCAGTAAAGAAATTTAAGCTAATTATATGTGTGAGGTATCTATCACTTTACCACAGTGCCTATGGCAGTGGCTGACATGTAGTGGCCGTCATCCTTTACACTGAACAAATGAAAACAAGAATAGCAAAGGGTTGCAAACCGGGTGCTTAATGCTGAATGTGACATTTTGTGTGTTCCACAAGATTTCTGAAATTTGAACTAAGTGGCAACATTTAAAAATCAATAAATTTTTGCATAATGGATATTTGGCTTCTAATGGATATTTATTGAGCTGATATTTTGTGCCAAGTACTTTTTAAGCACTTATGTTGTTTTATAGTCCTCAAAACCCTATGATGTGTGTGCTATCATTTCCATTTTATGGATGGACAGTAAAGGTGGAAAGTAGATAAGTGACTTCTAAGATCTTAAAGCTAGTAAGTGGTAGAGGCAGGATTTAAACCCAGACAATCTAATTCCAGAGTTCATGTTCATAACTGCTGTACTATGCCATCTCTTTATGCTGGCCTGGAAACAGTAGGCCAGTGATAGTGGCCTTGGGTTAACTACTCGCTTTTTTTCTCTTCTCGTTGCCACTTTACTCTATAGGTACCTGTATAAGTACATGGATATATTAAGTTGCTCTCCCTATATTAAATGACTTGCCCCAAGTCACATGGGCTATCAGCAGTTTTGAACTCAGGTCTTCTGATTTCTAAACAATTGCATCAGAAATTTAAAAACAATTTTATCCATCTATGTGTGTATGTTTACATGCAAACACACACTTGGACTCCTCCCTATATGAAGCTCTAACCCAATATGATAATTTCCAAGTTTGATCCTCTGCTTTCTGTATCATACTCTCTCCTAGGATTTTATCCACTCTCTGAGTCTCTAGTCTTTTTTTTTTTTTAAAGATGACCGGTAAGGAGATCTTAACTCTTGACTTGGTGTTGTCAGCACCACACTCACCCAGTGAGCAAACTGGCCATCCCTATATGGGACCTGAACCCATGGCCTTGGTGTTATCAGCACCGCACTCTCCCGAGTGAGCCACAGGCCGGCCCTGAGTCTCTAATCTGTGCAAATGACTCTAATTCTTTCTCCTGATTTTCAGCCCCTTATCTCTGACTGCTCTTAAGTCATTTGCATGTTCACCTCACCCTCCCAACATGAACCGATGTTCCCCCAGGCTAACTTCTCTAATACTAAGGAGCAATTGGAAGAATGCTGACAGAAAGGGGACCAGTTATGAAGTGCTTGCAGCAGCTTTCCCAAGGTGAGGAAGCAGCTGTGGGTGGTGGTGGTAACTGAAAGGAGGTAGCAGGGACATTTCATGAGTAAGAAGGGCCCTGTTTCTAACCAGAGGTGGGGGATGAAAGACTTGAAAGACACAAGTGACAGATTTCTTGGAGAACAGATTTCTTGGAAACCTGGGCATAAATGGTGGTGTCTATGAATAAAACAGCTGGGGGGAGAAGCTCTTTTGGAGTATCATGATACGTTTAGTTACAGTTAGCCGAGTTTGAACTGATGTCAAGACTTGTAAATAGAGATGGCTCACAGGCAGCTGGAGATGTTAGAATAGTTAGTTCCTTTGGAGCAAAATTAGAAATCTGACTAGTGTCAGACTGGAAATGGTCATTTAAGCTGTGATAATTGGGTAGTAATGGGAATAGACACTGAAAAAGGAACACCAGATTTTTAGCCGGGCTTTAAAGATGTATTTGGTCTAAGAGTTGTATTTTTTGGCCTCTTTTCAAATGTCAGATGAAAGGGACCACAGAAACAAAGGCAGAGCTGCTACAGTTGAAGGGGCAGGGAGTGGAGTGGTTGCAATGAGGGCTGCCCAAATTCAGCCCTTCCCTTGCCTCTAAATCCCTTTATGTACGGGTGATGAAAAGGTTCTGAGGGTGAGGTAACTTGCCCTAAGTATTAACATTAAATCAGTGGCAGAGCTAGAACTACAACCCAGTGCCTAGTTTTTCCATTATGCTCAGAAAGATCTAAAGAAAGGTTTTAAAAATGCAGCTTTCACTTTCATTTACCTTTCCCTTCTCTAGAAACACCCCCTAGTGTCCAAGTCAGGGGCTTTCCTGCACGCAATTAAGGGCATAGCACCCACATGCTGTTGGGCTTGTGGCCCTCTACTGGTTCTACTTCTCAGATGGCTCCTTCCCAGGCCCCTCTTATGCATGCGCCTTTCACAGTCTGCCTGTGTGTTCTCATCCACATTCAGCACTTCCTCTTAGTTAAACTGTCGATGACTCCTAAATCAATCTCAGCCAGACATCTTCTGAGCTTGAGGCTTATGTCCAACTGCCTATTGGGCATCTCCACCTGGCACTTCAAGTAACATGTCCAGCCAGATTTAGGACCACTGTTAGATACAACCTTATGCCAATAAACTTGGAAATCTAGATGAAATGCATGACTTTTTTAAACATTGTAATTGGCCAAAATTGACTCAGAAACCTCAATGGGTTAATAAGCATAGCAGAAATTAAAAGGTTATTAATAATCTTCCTGCTACAAAGCCAGGTCCTGATCGTCTGTTAAGCTGCAGAAAACTCATAATTACTATGTATTTTCCCCCAACTTTTTATTATGAAAGTTTAACAAACTTTTACAAAGTTTTAAAATAGTACAATGTACAGCTATTTATCCTTCTATTTAATCATAAACATTTTGCCCTATTTGCTTTATATTTATATAAACATTTTGTTTTCTCTATTTTCAAGTTAGTTATACAGTCCTACACTTCACCCCTAAATACTTCCTCATGAATTTCTTAAGAGTAAAGACACTGTCTGGCATAATCATAATACCATATCACACACAGAGTAATTCATCAAATACCTAGCTCGTATTTAAATGTCCCTTATTGTCCCCAAAATGTTTTTATAGTGTTCTTTTAAAAGCCAGGACCCCTCTCAACATAAACTATTCCAGAACATTTTAAAAAGGTAAGTTTTGGGCCGGCCCGGTGGCGCACTGGATAGTGCGCTTGGGAAGCGCGGTGGCGCTCCCGCCCGAGGGTTCGGATCCCACATACAGACCGGTTCCCGCTCACTGGCTGAGCGAGGCGCGGGAGTAACACCGAGGGTTGCAATCCCGTTGCCGGTCCCCGGTCCGGTACGGGGGCAACACTGAGGGTTGCGATCCGTTGCCGGACACGGAAAAAGACAAAAGACAAAAAATAAAATAAAAATAAAAAAGGTAAGTTTTAAAATTCATTTAATTAATGATTTTTGATCCGTAAGTCTGACAAGGATCAAAAACACGAAGCAATCTGATAAATATAAATGCAGATGTCCTAAAACAGAATATTAGCAAACAGATTTGAGTATATCAGAGGATTGATTTGTTGTATTTAAACTCTCAGCATCTCTTTCCCTCTTCCCCCTTATGTAGCAGCCTTGTAGTCAGATCCTACCACGTCTTGCGTGCTTAAACCAACCAGCGTCATTCCATCGCCGTTACAGCGACTTGTTAAAATAGCTCAAGCCAGTCAGAATGTGGTATCACTCTGGCCACAAAGGCGATCCAACCAGCAAGAAGTTCAGTCCTTTTGCTGAGGATCGGCAAACGCTACACTTCAGGGCTTCTCCACCACGGGGAACACGGTTGTTGAACATTTACCAGCACATCACCTTGACTTAGGCCGCCCCCTCCTCTCCCCTTTGCATTTCGAGGCATTCTTCTTTCCCAACCGCGTGGTAATTAACCGTTTCTCGTTGGTTCCTGCCAGTGCAAACAGCAGGCGCTTAGCGAGTGTTCCAGGCGAGCAGGAGTGCATACCCTGCCCCCTCGCAGCCTGTTGGCCCAGAGGCGGGGCGGGGCAGAGCCGCAGCCCCGCCCACCGACGCGCGGCTTGGCCCCGCCTCTCGCGGCGTCAATGTCCTCCGAGGCACCCGAGCTCGGCCTGCGCCGCAGATGGCACTTCCTGGGAGCGCTATGGCCAGTAAGTGGCGAAGCCCGGAGCGACAGCCCGAGCTTGGGCAGGAGGGGAGGCTTTGTGCGGCGCTGGCGGAGGACCAGGCGGCTCAGCCCCTCCGCCCCACGTCCCCGCCGCGCCCGAGGCCTCCCCTGACGCGGGTGTCCTTGGGACTCGGGGCTCGGAGCTCGAATGGCGAGGGCGGCGCGGGAGGCGCGGGGCACTCCAGGAATTCCAGGCTTGGGATGGCCGGCGGGGCCGCGATTGCCCAGCCACCAGGGCCCGCGCCGTGCTCCTCCTGCATCCTGCACTGCAGAGACTGATGGGCTTGTGGTTCTCAGCGGTGTGGGCTGAGTGCGGTGGAGATCTGACTCTCGGGTATTTTCAAGTCACGTGCCACCCCGCCTTCCCCCCACCGCCAACCTCACACAAAGCAAACGAAAAAGGTGCCCAGGGGGTTCTTCCTACCCATCTCATGTTTACAGTTCCGGATTTTAACTTGGACCGTTATTGCTCTGCATTGTTGTGTGACTTGGTGCAACTTTGCCGCTGCAAGCCTCTTTTTTATTTTTTGTTTTTTTGGCGGCTGGCGGGTACAGGGATCGAACCCTAGTCCTTGGTGTTATCAGCACCACTCTACCCATTTGGGCTAACAGAGCAATTCTCCCTGCAAGCCTCTTGTTTCTCATTTATAAAATGATGTTAATACATCACAGATGATTATATATGTAAAGATTACCTGGCACATTCCTTTAAATGTTATTGCCATGTTGGTCCCTTCACTTAAGGTATTTTATTCTTTTTTTCCCCCTTCCTAAAACTTCCATTGTTAGGTTACCATGAATATTAGGGCACCTCGGGACCTTAAAAGTCATTGTATCTTCGTTTTACAGATGAGGAAATGAAGTGACTATTATCTCATGCTCACCATCCAGGAACTTCCCAGTGGTGGAATTTCCCTGCTGCTGCACCTCTGTGGATGATTTGCAGAATGTCAGGCAGTCCCAAGCCTGGTTCAGGACCCCTGTTCTTGTGGGTGGGATAGGGGAGAGGGGAAGCCATCAACATAGCCATAATGAGCTTTATCTTTCTCACTGTAGAAAGCAGATACTAAGCCCAGCTGAGTTACAGGGGAGACCTTTACTGGGTTTCTGTGATGTTTTGGTGGCAGCTCAAAGTATCTGTTTGCCTCAAAGCAATCCCAGCTTTTATTTCTTGTTTGTTTCCTTTGCTTTCCTCCAGATTCAGAAGGTAGCAAGCTGCATTAAGGGTTAAATTTAGCTTTTCTCATTATATTTAGGATAGACCAAGGAATGGGAACATCCAGGTTTTCCCTACTTTTAGGTTCACCCTGAGCCATACAGGCCTTCATCAAAGGCCAGAGTCTGACAGTGTGGCTTCTTCTGGAAACGTTTGCACCATTACAGCAGACACCTAGAGAGAGAGTTCTCTGATGGTGGGATTTTCAGACTCTGGAGCAGATATGGGGTAGGGCAGTTAGGGCAGGCTCTTACTAATAAATAATTCCTGAAGTTTTGCAGAGCTTCTTGGGTTCTGATATACCTTTTTTTTTTTTTTTTTAAAGTTGACCGGTAAGGGGATCTTAACCCTTGGCTTGGTGTTGTTAGCACCACACTCATCCAGTGAGCTAACCGGCCATCCCTATATGGGATCCAAACCCATGGCCTTGGTGTTATCAGCACCACACTCTCCTGAGGGAGCCACGGGCAGGCCCCAGTTCCTATGTGCTTTGGATCCTTTACTGCAGCCTCCCATCAGACCATAAGCAAGAACTGTGTATCAGTCAGGAGCAAGGCAGGAGACAGAAACCACACCAATACTGTAACAGGCTGAACAGAAGTGACTCCATTTTGTTAAACTTCTAAATTAAAAAGTTTTTTTTTCTGGGCCGGCCCGTGGCTCACTTGGTAGAGTGCGGTGCTAATAACACCAAGGCCCCGGGTTCGGATCCCACATAGGGATGGCCGGTTCGCTCACTGGCTGAGCGTGGTGCTGACAACACCAAGTCAAGGGTTAAGATCCCCTTACCAGTCATCTTTTAAAAAAAAAAAAAAAAAAAAGTTTTTTTTCTTACTCTTATAACCTGAAATGCCTAGCTTGCAGCTGGACATTAGAATACAATGATTCTTATTCACATGACTGCTAGAACATAATGACTTTTGCTCACACCGTACACAGAATAATTATAGAGAAATTATTAACCCAAGTGGCCATTCTTTACTAGCTTACTAACTAGATCTTTTTGACTTCATGGAGGATGGTCACCGTGAATTAGCTCCCACACTAGAAGTTCTTAGTTGTTAATCTGCAATTTTGTGATTATGCCTGCACATCCTTGCTTAGATCAGCATGAATCAGCCCCCTACCACCTGTCCCTATAAAACCCTTTGGCAAGTCTGGGAAAAGCAGAGATGGTCTTTGAGACATGAGTCCACCATTTCCCCAGGCTGCTGGCTTCCTGATTAAAAAGACTGCCTTTCCTCCCACCAATACTTGTCTCTCAATTATTGGCTGTTGAGCGGCGAGCAAATAGACCTTTGGGGTTTCAGTAACAGTACCTTGAACACAGAAGAATTATTTACCAATGAAAGGTGAGAAAACTTTTAAAGAGTATGGGGAAAGCAATAGTTGGGTATAGCTACTATCTCAAGGAAGGAATAAGCTCCTTGCTCCAAGGCTGAGAACAGATCTTGTGGCCTCTTGTTCAAATAGCAGGAAAAAAGTGCTATTAGCTTTTCCTTCTTGCAGTGTCTCTCAATCTCTCATGGTGTTATTTGCTATTTAATGTTGTGTTCTCTTGGGTACAGGAATATTCATGGGGTGAGTGCAGACCTTCACAGGTGCTTGGTCCCTACCCCCGTCTGTGACTAGGCACGTGTAGAGCCTACAGGCTGCCTGGTTTCCCCCCGCCAGTAACTGGACTGATGTGCTGTGTTCCGGCTTGTAGTAGGGAAGTTGAGACAGGCATCTTCCCTCCCCATGGGTCCATTGTCCCAATTTGCAGCTGGTGAGCAACTTCAAAGGGATTGCACCTTCTGTGCTGGAATATGCTATGTATCTGTATATGGGGTAGACGGGAGGCCCAAGATGAAACAGTAAGGGATAGGACTGTATCCAAACCCAGTCTCCTTACTTCAAGCCACGTTCTCATTTTATTCCCCATACTACACGGTGAGAAGCTGGCCCTGCCTTCTTCACTTCAGATCCTTGTGCCTGGCATCAGCCTTTGCCCGTGGATGATGCTCTATCACAGGATGTCTAACCCTCAGCACCATTGACATTTTGGACTGGATAATTCTTCATTGTGGGGAACTGTTGTATGCATTGTAGGGTAGCAGCATTCCTGGCTTCTATCCATTAGATGCCAGTAGCACACCACCACTGTAACAAAAATATCTCCAGATGTTGCCAGACGTCCCCTGGGAGACAAAATTGTCCTCTGTTTGAGAACGATGATGCTGTCTGAATTCAGCAGTCAGATCTGACAGCTGTTCTTTTGTCTTTGTTCTCAGCTTTCCGCTTGGCCCTCATCCAGCTTCAAGTTTCTCCCATCAAAGCAGATAATGTTACTCGAGCTTGTAGCCTTGTCCGGGAGGCAGCAAAGCAGGGAGTCAAAATAGTTTCTCTGCCGGTGAGTATGGAGACAGCCATCCCTTTCTGGGTGCTATAGACACAGCAGAATAGTGTTTACTAGCTCCAGTTGTTTTCTTGTGTCCTGGGGTCCAGCAACGTCCTTTGGAGCCCCAGAATTCTTCCATGTTTGTCTAGAAGATGGCCTTAGCAAGGGTCTTTACGATAGGATGTGCCAACATGGTTACAAGTCTTTAACTTTAGATCATCTACTCGGTTCAGATGAGGAAACCAAAATCCTAGTATGTCATGAGATTTACCTAAGGCTAAGATACTCAGTGCTTGGATACTTATTTTGTTCCTTATACAATCAAGTCTTTATAGGACCAGAACATGTCCTATAGCACTAAGCCTCCAACATTTTTTTTAAATGATTGAAAATTGTTTAGAGACATTTAGGAAGCCTGTGGCATCTTAAGCCAGTAGGACTCTGCATCTTTTTCATAGGTGGTTTCTTTAACAACAGAACCACCTAAAGGTTGTACACATTTGGTTGTCTGAAGTACAGGGTTAAGTCCCATAAAGGGTTCCCTAGATGTCAGGACATACATCTCCTGGCATTTCTGGCATGTTTTCCAAAGGCTTTATGGGGATTAGTGGGTGGAACTGTTTCAAATAGCAAAATAGCACACCCCTCACTCCCCAAGCTGTGGGGAGAAAGCTGTCCTTTGCTAACCCTGTCTAGATGGCCCGGAGAATTTTGAGGGCCACCTGTGTATTAGTCAGGCTCCAGCCCATCACAAAAGTGGTGAGGGAACAGGAATCTTTAACAAGGGAGCTTCAGATCTTAATGTTAATCCAGTCTTCCTTATGGCACCAGTCATGGGACTCACCTGCATTTGTTACCCAATCATGGTCTCTTGTTGGTTTACATTGCTGAGGGTAAGAGTATGAAGCCCAGGAGTGAAAGCATTTGAATTCTGCACATGCCCACTTCACTGACCTTAACATGCGTCTTGAATGAGCTGACCATCTTTGGGCTTGAGTTTCCTAGCACAGTGTCTGATACATATGCAATCTCATTAAATGCAAAATAAATGAATTAGAGTTGAAGTCTAGTAATTTTTGCTTTTTGTTTTCTGACATGTCATAGAACTGTTGAAGACAGACAAACCCCAGGTAGACTTTGTAGGATCAGAATGATAGTGCTGGAAGGGAACTTAGAAAAAGTTCATTTTGGAGATGAAGAAATGTTTTAACCTCTGTGGCTTTCAAAGCTTTCTGTTTTTTCATATACAGGTTTTATTGCTTTACATAGTTAATAATATAACTTTGAGCTTATGGATTTATCCTAACACCCAAAGTCATGTGAAGGAGCCCAATTTGTGGTGGGCCTGCGTGCCCAAATTTGGGAACTTTTTCTCCCGCAGACTGGAGGCAGGAGTGAGTCTGGCCTTCTGCCAGGGTGAACAGGCTCTCACATAAGTTGTCTCCTCTAGCCCTACCTGGGCTAGCTGCCTAGTCCTGTCTGTGGCCACAGGTTCTTTAGCTCTGGGGTATCAGTGTTTTTCTTATTAGCTGTGTTTTGCACTTAAAGTGAGAGCAGAGCTGGAAGCAGCAGCTATGTCTTACAGCAGAACTTTAAAATGGGTTGGGTGTTTCTTTGTTCCCCCTTTTTCTCTGCCAACATTGTTCTAGGAATGCTTTAATTCTCCATATGGCACAAAATATTTTCCTGAATATGCAGAGAAAATTCCTGGTGAATCCACACAGAAGCTTTCTGAAGTAGCAAAGGATTGCGGCATATATCTCATTGGAGGTAACTTCCTATCCACAAGGTATAATGGCCTCAACATTAAAAACATCTGAAGGATTTTTGTTGTTACATTTAAACTGTGGAACAATTATATAGATACAGATATAGATAGTTATGTATGTAAAGGCATGGTAAATACTGTGGAGGAACATACACCCAACTGATAATGATTTTCCTTGGGGTAGGAATGAGGGTATAGGGGCAGGTAGAAATGTAGAAAAGAAATCATATCCCATGTGTCTTGTTAAACCAATGTAGAACTGAGAAAAATGTTTCTCATAGAAGCCACATACATAAAGGTAGCTTTATTATTGTACTTTTGAAATGAATTTTATAATGTTCTATTTGCTTCAATTAAAAATAAGCACAATAGGGTTGGCCAGTTAGCTCAGTTGGTTAGAGCCAGCTATTGATAACACCAATGTTCGGATCCCCATATCAATCAGCTACCAAAATCGTAAAAAAGGGAGCTAAAGGTAAGCACAGTAAAACTCTGTTCAGTAAATATAGCAAATAAAATTACTTCTGTATTTTGACATATTAAGGATTAGAAATGGATAAGAGGTGGGAAATGAAGGCAAAGGAAGAAGCATAGAGTTGGAACTGCATTCAGCGATGGAGAGGCTTGTTACTTAACATTCTCATCTCAAGGTATTTTGGCATACAGTTTTGTTGCAGGGCCTGGTTGATTTAAGCTGAGCAACAGGAAATTCTTCATTTTGCTGTAATGTTACAGATTAAGTGTTGCTCAAGATCATGGCAAAATTTCAAGAACAGTTCAGTTATTTTTTAAACCTGTCTTCAGTGTCTGACCTAATTATATTTCATCTACACTTTGTAGTTTATCTCTGAAAGATCATATTCAAGAACACACCAAAAAAAAAAAAAACATGATTAAATAACCCTTAGAAAATAATAAATTTTATTGTTGAACCTAAGTGATAATTTGTCAAGCCTTTATCCAGTTATCACAAAAGAATTGCTCTATTGTTTTTTATTCTTTTTCTTATTGTTTTATGTGCCTGTTTCTTCTCTTGATGAAAGGTTCCATCCCTGAAGAGGATGCTGGGAAATTATATAACACCTGTGCTGTGTTTGGGCCTGATGGAACTTTACTAGTAAAGCACAGAAAGGTAAATAGGGAATGTGGCAACTCTCATTGCCTCTTAAGAATTTGCTGTGAAGTCTGCTAGTCCCTCTCATCATATTGTACACATGTCAGGCTTTTGACTGATTGGCACAGGTGGCTATTCTTGGCCATTTGAATTTTTTTAGGAAATATTAGACTTAGCCTGTCAATTTCTGCAAAGCAACAACCTACAGAAATTTTGCTTCGAATTTCCTTGGATATGTAGAGATTAATTTGGGGAGAGTTGACATATTTGCAGTATTAAAAGCATATATATTTAGGATTGTTAAGTTGTCCTGATGAATTGACCACTTTATCATTATGAAATGTCTCTCTCTCTTTTTTTTTTTTATCATAATATACCTTGTCTTGAAGTCTACTTTATCTTTGCTATTACTATAGCCACTGCAGGCTACTTATGCTTACTGTTTGCCTGGTACATGTTTTTTTACTCTTTTATTTTCAACCTATAGGTATCTTTATATTTTAAATAGTTCTCTTGTAGACAGTGTATGGTTCGGTCTTACTTTTTTATTCATTCTGACAATCTCTGCCTTTTAACTGGAGTGGTTAGCCCATTTATATTTAATGTAATTATTAATATGGTTGGATTTAGGTGTACAGATGTTTTACTTTTTTTCCCTTTATTTCTCTTTTCTACATTCTTTTGGATTCATTGAATATTTTTTAGAATTTCATTTTAATTTATGTATTTGTTTTTTAGATATACATCTTTGCCTTTTTTTTTTTCAGTTATTGCTCTGGGGATTGTAATATGCATTCTTAACTTCTCACAGTCTTTGTAGAGTTAATATTGTATCACTTCATGTGGAATTTAAGAACCTTGCAATCATATAGGTCTATTTCCTACCCCTCATTCTTTATGTTATGATTGTCATATGTATTCCATGCACATATGTTATAAATCCCACAAAATCACTTTTTTGATTTAAGTAATCATATGTATTTTAAAGAAATTAAGAGGGGAAAAAGGATCTTTATACTTACTGAATATTTACCATTTGTGGTGTTTTTCTATCCTTCGTGAAGATCCTAGTTCTATTTGGTATCTTTTTCTTCAGATAGTAGGATCTCCTTTGGCATTTTGTAATGAGGATCTGCTAGCAAGGAATTCTGTTAGTTTTTATTTATGAATATATCTTTACTTTGCTTTCTTTCTCAAAAGATATTTTAGCTGGAAGTAGAATTCTGATTCGACAGTTTTTCATTTTTTCCTACCAATTGTCTTCTAGCCTCTTTTTTTTCCTTGTTAGAAGTCAGTAGTAATTTGTATTGTTTTTCCCCTGTGTGTAATTTGTTGTTTTTCTCTTCCTGCTTTCAAGATTTTTTTTGTAATCTTTAGTTCTTAGTATTGTGACCCTGATGTGTCTAGATGTGGTTTTCTTTGTGTTTGTCCTTCTTGGTTTTTTGTTTTTCTAATCTTTTTTCTCTCTGTTGTACAGATTAGATGATTTCTATTGATTTATCAGGTTCATTGATTCTTCTGTCATCTCTAATCCCCTGTAAGCCAATCCAGAGAAATTTTTAAAAATTCATGTATTGAATTTTTCAGTTCTAAAATATCCATCTGCTTTTCTTTATAGTTTTTATTTCTGTACTGATATTTCTGAGAATGTATTTTTTTGTACACCCTTGAGTTTAGTTTTAATAGCTGATTTACAGTCTTTGGTAATTGTCACATCTGCATCATGTCAGGGTCTGTGTCTTTTTGATCGCTTTTTTCTTTTTGAGTTTGCATTACATTTCTGTTTCTTTGTGTGTCTAGTAATGTAGGATTGTACATTGGATTATGTTGTAGAGATTCTAGATTCTAGTACATTCTCCTCCAAAAAGTGTTGAATATTTTTGTTTGTACAGATAGTTAACTTGGCTGTACTCACACACCAAACTTTTATCTCCTTTGCAAGGTGGGCGGCAATTTTAGCTGCTTTGTTTTGTCCAGAGTTGTTTAGCCTGAGCTGGACTGATTGTAGGCTGTCCCTCTCATATTTAATTCAGTGGTCAGCCAGAGATCTGGACAGATTTTATATATAGAATTTAGGGCTCTCTCTCTTTGGCTTAGTCCTTTTCAGGACGTCCCCCCCCCCCCCCCCCCCCCCCCCCCCCCCCCCCCCCCCCCCCCC